GTGTGACCTCCACCCGAGAGTACATTTTTGTTTCCTTCCTCCTTTGAGCTGAGGCTAGTGACTTCTCCTTGATCCCCTCTCCTCTTCCACCATAAAGAGCAGCAGAACCACTTACAACTGGGTGGGTGGAGGACATACCAATTTGTCATATGTCTAAGCTGGAAATGCATATCTGGAAATGCAAAACCACATATTTCCATGCTACTGGATGTGAAAAAAGCAGCTGTTGCACAGAACATTTCAAATGTGAATGGTGCACATATGGATTCACTGCTTTGAGCTTTTCCTCTCCCCTCCAAAGGGAGCTAACAAGTCAGATCATGCCCTAGTCCTATTTGGGAGAGAAATATGATGATAACACCTGACACCATTTCTTTGTATTTGGTTCTCTCATTAGCATGTATACCTGAGAAGGAACCCATCATTCTTCTGCGTATCTTCCTTCCTTCCAAGTAAACCGTCATAAAGAGTGGCATTTTACAAGCTGCACTTACCTTTGTACTTATTCATTCTTGAAAAAGAGAATCCAGAGACTAAGATACATCCCTCACCAGAAAAAGAAAAGGAGGGGGAAGGGTGGGAAAAGGAAGATGAGAAGGAAGGACTGAGGTGGGTTGGGGTTACCCACCCAGATAAATCTAAAGCAGTGTACCTAGAGGGCAATTAACAAAAGCAGGAGTTCAGTCTTTGGGGTGAAGAAAATGGAGAGTGAAGGAGGAAACTAGAGGACAACTTTAGAAGTGCTCCTTTGCCTTTTTGTCAGCCATACATAGCATGGTGCAAGCAATGTGCTAAAGTGCTCAAGACCACATGCATCTGTGGACAGGCAGTTCAAAGACTAATTCCCCATTCTGCTTCACATATAGCTTTTGTGCCACTGATGCAAGTCCATGCTGCTTCCTATATGTCTAGAAAACAAAAGGAGAAGCTTTCAGAAGAATGCACAATAGCAAGAGTGCAGCAAGAATAAGAGGGCTTCTGCACCAATACCAAAGGGGTCCTGCGGAGAGGAGAAGGACAAAGGATTCCTGCGAGTAACAAGGCCACCCTAAGGCAGAGGAAGTGAAGCCACACCTTGGGATGGCACATTCCTTGTCCCATTTATTCCACAGAGTTTTTGCTTCGAAAGTTTTATCAATACAGCAGGAAACATGTTTCAGAAAATTTTGAAAATGAACCTCATATGATACAACATGATAATTTATCTAAAGCAGTGGTTTCCAACCTTTGGGCCTCCAGATGGTTTGAACTTCAGCTTCCACAGTTGTAAACAGCTGGTAAGCTGGGTAGGATATCTGGGAGATGAAGTCCAAAACATCTGGAGGCTCAAACGTTGGGAACCACTGATCTAAAGCTATTGCAATCCAGTTCAAAACCGCTTTAAAAATAAGGAAACAGGACACACAACAAGATTTCTATGTGTAGTTATTTGGGTCTTGGACTATGGTTTTGGAGACCAGGGCTCAACTCCTTGCTTGGTTATTTAAAGATAACTTTGAGCAAGTCACATTTTCTTAGCCTCAGAGGAAGGCAAAGGCAACCCCTTCTGAACAAGTCTTGCCAGTAAGACCCCATGATAGGGCCATTCTTAGTTGGAAATGACTTGAGGTCACACAACTATGTTCATTACTTCCTTTTGTGTGGAAATAGGAGGCATGAGAAATGCAACTTTCACATGCACGCAATATAGTTTGCTAGTCAATAGCAAGGTTGTTATCAACAACTACTTCATATCCATACATAGTCAACTACCAGGGAGTAGTTCTTTTAGAAAAAATGCTGCACAGTTGCATTTCCAAAACTACACACAAACCCACTTTTGGCATTTCTTTCTCATTAAAAATGATTAATATTTGCTTTTCTGATAGCGCCATGCCATTTGATATTAGAAATAAGTCATTTGCAATTATGGACAATATTTTTTGTCTGGGGGAAGCACTGGATTTGCTGCAGAGCTATTGTATATGCTCTTGTTCACTGTCTTCCAGTTCAAAGGAGAAAGATATATTATGCATATATTCTACTGTCATTTTAAAAAACTAATGAGTTTGCTAAGCAGCCTAGAAATTTACCTTTTCGTGGACATTCCAGGATTGCTGGCTATGAGTTTAGGATTTCATCTTTGTTCTAAATACCAATGCTATTGCAAAGGTGAAACAGGCTTGTCTACACGTTACATTATGGTGCTAGACAGTAATTTTCGCCATTTTTGTGGCGTTCCCTAGTAACAATTCTAAAATATCTTGGTATATTTAACATATACTTTATTACATACTCATCTTGTATAACAAAAAAAGGTAGAATAAAATATTTTTTCTCGTTTTGTGGCATTTTCTGTTTTGAGGAGATTCCAATTTTTCGACCATCGTCCTGCTAATTCACTTTACGTCTTTCAAGAGCTGTGCATAAACAGCCCAAACCTTATCTGCTTGACTAAAAAGGATTATAAACATTTGTCATCTTAAAAGATCACAATTGGAGGTGTCATGGATACACACTAAATTGTATTTAACAAGGCATTTGCTTCAGATTTTGTCCAGCTCCGTGTTTTTTCTGCCGAAATGTATAATTGGAGGTACCAACAATTACAAGGACAGAATAGGGTGCACTATTTTCACCTCTGGCTCCAAATGACTTTGGATGTGGCTGTATTTAAATGATTCCTGCTCCAGAAGAAAGATGGCATTTGTTACTATTGTTATATGCTTCTTATCTGCTGGCACATATGCTGTTTCACAGTAAAGCTTGGATTAACTACAGAATTTCCCAAGTGGAATTAATTATAAATTGGGACAAGATGACAGAAAAAGAAGAAGGTTTGCTTGCTAGCAGCTAGGTTAAAAAAGGGGTGATTAAGAAAGATCAAGAAAGCTCTCCTTCTAAACAGCAGTGGATTAGACCAGCCAAGAAAGATTTTTAAAGGCATTACAAATATACAACCTTGAAGCTTTGAAGAAAATGAAGTAAGCAAGGGACGGGTTGCTATGGTTTGACTGGCATGGGAGGAAAGGTCTGGTGCATCTCCATTTTGGAGATTTGGGGCATAAACCAGAAAGGTTAGATTCACTTAAGTCCTGCTGGAATCAATTAAATTTGGACATAAACAAAGTTTGGGGGGATAGAATTTTGAAATCCCAAACTTTTCCTAAAAGGCACCAACAAACCCAATCCGCCAAGGATTGCAGCTGTACAAGCCCCACATATTTCAATGGGACTTATGCAAAATTCTGACCAATTATTTTCAAATGGAGATCAAAGCTCCTAATTTATTTTAATTCCCATTCATAATGGACCAGTAGCAACCATTTTTAAATTTCACTCTTCCTCCCGGTTCAGTTTCATCCAGATCCACAAAAGAACAGCCAGTAAAAATTTCCAACCATTCAGCAACCTGGAGGAGTGGAAGGGTTAAGGCGTGGGTTAAGAAAACAAAAACAAGAACTGTGTTGGCGTAGAGTGAACATGAACTTTCACATTGATGAAACCCAGTAGGGCAGAAAGATCAATGAAAGAGCAAAGACACACAAGAGACATACCCACAGTTAGCTACAAAGTAAGGTTGGGGTGAGATCCTGGTGCTAAGCTAAGAGGTATTAAACATGTCTCTAACTACATTATATTCATACTTGTTCACCAATTAACTTAATCACTACTAGGCTAGCTTTGTGTAAGGTGAGAATAGAAACTCAAGAAATTGGTACAATGATTTCAATTGTGGCCAGATTTGATGCTGCAGTTCAGTTTAAAGGACACAGTTTAAAGAACATGTTGTACACAGATTTGTCCACAGATCTTGGGCAACTGTTCCAGCATCTGTCTCCTGAGAATCATGCTGCTATGTCTCACAAAAGAGCCAGTCCTGGGTTGCTGTGAGTTTTCCGGGCTGTATGGCCATGTTCCTGAAGCATTTTCTCCTGACATTTCATCCACATCTATGGCAAGCATACTCAGAGGTGAGGTCTGTTGGAAACTAGGTAAGTGAAGTTTATATATCTGTGGAATGTTTGCTTGAGGCAAGTGTGAATGTTGCAATTGGCCACCTTGATTAGCAATGAATGGCCTTGCAGCTTCAAAGCCTGGCTGCTTCCTGCCTCTAACAGACAAGAGTTCTTTCTCCCACCCTGGACATTCCACAGATATAAAACCTCACTTGCCTAGTATCCAACAGACCTCACAACCTCTGAGGATGCCTGAAATAGATGTGGGTGAAACGTCAGGAGATAATGCTTCTGGAACATGGCCATACAGCCCAGAAAACTCACAACCCAGTGATTCTGGCCATGAAAGCCTTCGACAACACATAGAGCCAGTTCTGTTAAAGAGTGAGCAGCTTAATCCACCAGCCTTAATGCTGTTGGGAAGGATCCTATATTTTGTGAATTTTGGGCTCAGAATTGGAATTTAATCCTATTGCGTATTCCTTGTGTATGCAAACAGGTCTGCACTACATCCCACTGATTGCTTTCACTCTTATGGCTTTTCTCCAAGAAATCTTGGTAATAATAGTTCTCTGAAAGGATTCAGGCAGCTAGGAGCTACAGCCAAATATAAAGTGCCCACTGCCATTATCACTATTTCTTGCCTCCCCGCTCAGAATCAACATTTTTTTGAAGAGGAAGCCAATGTGGTGGAAGAAGGAAAAAGAAATAGGAAGAAAGAGAGACATATGTAATCATTTTGAAGTAGGAGCTGTCTTGTAGGTTGGCTTAAATATGACTCCCAGATTTGCATCTACTAAAGACAAATGAGAGATCTTTAACCAGAGAAGTTAAACCACAACTCCAAGAAGCAACAGGAGAAAGCCATATCAGGAAGCTGTCACAGCTGAAAGTTACTCTTCCTACCTACTTCAGTGTGTTGTACATCTATGTGTATACACAAATATTAGTGTTCCAACACCTGTCAGAGAGGTGACAGTGATTCAGGGTAGGGATGAGGGTATGTAGGAGAGTTCCCCTCCATCTCCCCACAAAGTTCATGTTCAGCAGACTGCCACTCACCAGGTAAGCAGGCCTCAGAGCACAGCTTATTGTCCAGTGCTTTCACGCTTGCGTTGCCAATGTCATTGTTATTGTCACACTCCATACCTAGGTATGCGCCTGTCCTTTGGCCTGCAAGGGAGTTAATGCAGTTAGCGAGGGGATGAGGGCTTTGACCGAATGTTTTTCCCTCCTTAAAACAACAGAATATAAAATACTTTACATTAGTAATTGGAATTGGGGGGGCAACATAAACAACAACAAGTGGGGTAGAGAGTGGACAATAAGGCATTTGACTGGAATGCGTCTGCATTAAGCCATCCTGACTGGTTTCCTTCCAACCACCTCCATTTTCCTGCTATTGTTGCCAGTGTGGAAGGTTATATTTGACTTTTGCCTTCAAGGCAATAAATAAGCAGGCACAGAAATACAGGTTATAGAGCAGCCAGCAAAAACTGAAGAAAACAGTATCCAAGAATCTCTTATGCTTTTGCCTGGCCTACATCCAAACTCTGAAGTGGATGTAAAAATCAATACTTTTATTTTAAAAAAAACAAGACATTGTTTACTGTAAAGGTCCAATACATTGTTAATTCCCCAACAACAGAAATTCACAACAGAATGAGGAAATAACACGGTAAGAAAGCATTATTGATCTGGCACTCGAAGGATACCTCCCTCTGGGCAGCCACTCTCTTCAGGCAGCCCTGGGAAATGAGAGCTCTGAGAGGAGTTTCCATGGATTTCTAACAGACTTCTCATCATTTCCAGAAAATAAAAACTATATTTTCTAAGATCACCTGAGACTTACAATGGTATTAAGCTAAGGGGTTTTTCCCCCACACTACATAATTATAGTACTTTGATACCACTTAAATATGGCTGCTGAATTTGGGAAGTCTGAAGTTTGGTGAGGCACAAGTGCTTTCTGGCTGTGAATTCTCAAGGCCAATCTCAGGATTCCACAGGATGCAACCATATTAGATGAAATGGAATCAAAGTGGTATAAGTATGTGGTGCAAAAGATATATAATGATCTGCAGCACAGAATATAGTAAGGATCTACAGCACAAATCTGCCAGTTCTGGAAGGCCTTGGGTGCCACAGCTTCTGGTAACGAGCAGAAAAATATGATTATCTTTGGCATCCATTTCTGAGCTACTTTAGTGATAGCTCTGTGCATACACCTGCCCATAGCTCATTAATGCACTATGTACTAATTTCTAATAATTATAGAACCAACTATAAATATCAGTATGTAGCCATGGCAGCAAATTGGGAATTACAGCGCTATAATTGCGTAGTTAGCCCAAAAAAGCAATTTCTAAATAAGAATGCCCTTCCCTTGTCCAATAAAAAAGGGATTCCTTTATTTTAGTGGTTAAGATAAATAAATATTATAGGTTACAATAATCTTTCAACACTGTTCAGTCAACTATCAAAGAGAAAAACAGAGGCATGGCTGAGGATTCTGGCGTAACTCATCAATGGAGCGAGCTGGTGGATCATTGCTGCATGACAGCTGTTGGAGGCAAGCATGCAAGCCCCCTGGAACCTCAAAAGCGCATGAAGCACCAAAGCAGCAGCTCTGGCCAAGGGAGGCAGGGGTGTGGGGAGCAAGAAAGGGAATGGCATAATCTGTTGACCCACAGAAAAATCGTAATGGCATCTTGAATTCTGCCATACACGCCTTCATTTAAAAACAAGCGAGTTATGGAGGGTGTCTGTCTAAAACGTATTAAGGGACAAAAAGAACAAATACCATGGTCTGCCACAAACGTGTCTTATACCAAAGAGTTCCCAAAAATTTACAGCCCACTTTGTTTATTGGTAAATATATTCATCCATACCCTGCTGCAGGATTTGTTACAAACAAAAGAAAGCAGCAGCATGAAGCAGCTCCTCGTCATTAGGCATATTGATCAAAAGGTAAGGGCCATTCTCACAACATTAACAGGAGGCAGAACTCTGCATCTAATGGTCAGGTTTCATTTGCCAGTGATCTGTACACACCTTGTGGACGCCATCTTCTAAAACCACAATATATGTGTGGACCTAACTTAACTTCACACTCAGTAAGCATCCATAACCTTACACTCAGTAAGCATCCTGACATAGGTTCATGCTTGGTGCTAACCATGATGATCTTGTGTTTACTGGGTTATTGTGTGTTTTCTGGACTGCATGGACATGTTCCAGAAGCATTATCTCCTGATGTTTCTCCTGCATCTATGGCAGGCATCCTCAGAGGTTGTGAGGATGCCTGCCATAGATGTAGGAAAAACATCATGAGAGAATGCTTCTGGAAGATGGCCATACAGCCTGGAAAACACACAACAACCCAGTGATTTCTGCCATGAAAGCCTTAGACAACAACTTGTGCTTAGTTCTAAAATGGAGCCCTGAGATTCTCAGAGGCCTAAGAAAGCCCAAAAGTTAAACAAGAGCTCTCTGAGGGTTCCCAAACAGGTCTTGCGAGGAGATTCTGTGAAGCGGAGAGTTTTACTTACTCTTTCTAATACTAAAGAAACAGAGTAAGTATCTTTAGTATAGGAGCTTTTCAATGAACCTTCTGACCATCTTGAACCAAATTTGTATGGGGCCAAAGGCCCATAGCAATGAATGAATGGCACTAGCCCATTGGGAAAGAAACATACAAGGAACAACTCATCCATGAGTCCACGGGATCTGATTAATTATTAAAGGAACGTATTGAAACCTAAGCACATATGAAAATTTCAAAGTAAAACACTGTATTTTAAATTAATACTATCAACCATAAAATTCCAAGAGAAAATCCATCTTCGGAACTTGGGGTGGGGTGGACCTTTACTGGACCAACTTACCAAATTCTCTTTTAGGCATAAAAGAGATGATAAAAATAGAGAAGGACTAAGAATAACAATTCTTTAAAAATATATTAAACTCTGTAGATAAAAGTTTTGAGAAAAGAGCAGCTTTTAAAACCCTTCAGGATTAGATGCAAATCCACCCAAATATTTTAGATTTGAAACATAGATGATAAAATATTTAAAAAAAAACATTGAATCCCTTCAAATTGAAGTTCTGCTTATACATTATGGCTTAAGTTTCTAGCTCATATATGGAAGATGAGACTTTTCATCCTTTCCTAATACATGAGTATTTAATTTAACCTGGATCTTATTTTACCCAGGAACCAATCAGACACGGAAGCCTTATTCCTTCCTGTTCTCCATTATGAATGCTGCCGGCTGGATATGAATCACAAACAAACATGGAAGATGGATTAATGGTTCATTGCTCTGTTACCATCTTCCTGGGTTGGGGAGTCATCCTCTTCTTCCATGACATCATTCCCCTGTCACAAAAAATGGCAAGGGGTGAATAATAAAAATAAATAAAGGAATCTGCCAAGCATCAAAGAAGTCTGAAACCAACTTATTGTATCTGAGGTCCCTACCCCTTATGTATTTTCCTTGCAAGAACCTGCCATAAGCAATATACTGAGCTGATGCATGTGGTACAGACATTGCTGGCCTGTATTGCTATAGAATATAAGCAGAGACTACCCATTTGAGTGTTTCTCTACCATCAAAACTGTTTTCTTAAATCACAATATAGTTTGATTACAGTGTTGTATTTTACCCTTTGGCTCCCACCATGATTTGGAAGGTCAATGCACTTTGACATTTGGCTCCCCAAACAAGATTCTGTATAGCAAAGTAACAGGTACTGATCTTTATGTGAGGCACCAGTTCCATTCAGAGCCCAAATCTAAACCCATCTTTTCCAGATATGGAGCTTTACCTCTGCATCTCGCTCCTCTGCTGAGAGACTGACGAAGTTTGCATCCGGAGATTCAACAGGGGTTGACTAAGAGAAGAGAAGGAGGGGAAAAGCTGGGACTTACTGATGAATTTCCTGCAAGGACAGGTTAAGGTGATATTGCACTCCGTATCAGAGATATCAACATCAACACACAGCACATAACCTACACTTTTGCTTATCTCATTTGCTTTTCAATCTCCTTCCAAGAAGCAGTTAGCAAGACATGGATGACAAGTCTGCCTGGCCAACCTTACCTGTGGACAATCACAGGGATCACTGAGAATATGAATCATTGCCCCCATTCCCCAAATCCCACAGGTATCTTGACTATCTCATTGGCTTATGGTACTTACATCTCCTTCTGAAGGTACCCCACTGGCGGCAGCAGGGGATGGGACTATGTCTCCCCCCTCTTCTTCTTCCTCCTCCTCCTCCTCCTCAGTGCCGGGAGCTACATAGGAGCCTGACATGGAAGACATGGTGTCAGTGCTGATCTCAGAGTGCTGGCTTTGGGAGGAGGCCATGGACATGACTGACTGTGCCAGACTGCTGCTAGCGGGATCTAAGGAAAGAGGGGAAGGTGCAGGCAAGATATGGTCAGGGATACTGGTCATCGTCAAGTGACAAGCTGACTTAGTTGCTACTGGTTGGGTTTCCCTTTGGCTCCATGTGCTGGGAAGGTAGAAAAAAAGTTTTAGGAGCTTCCAGTGTCCAAATCAAGACACTGGTTCTGAAAACATGAATTCTTCATTTTATGGGGCTTTGAAATTGGGCATTCTGCTCCTTGATCTCCTCCTGCCCTTGCCTCCAGTTGCTTTAATATCACATCCAGCTCCTAGTCTCATGCTTTGGGGCAGTTTGTGAACAGTTGGGACAGTTCACACAAAATACATCCTGCTGACAAATATACTTATGCTTCCATTTGTAAGGCTTCACAACCTGGCACACTGCTAGTTAATTAACACATTTTCTAGGGAAATGGGAAACCATCTTTAAAAACTTTTTTTGCAATGCAGATACACACTACATATGCATCTATTCCATCCATTCAGCTTATACTGTGCTTGTGTTTAAGATCTGTAGTTCTCATTAATGAAGGAGTTCAGAAAATGGTAAGGAACAGGCGAATGGAATTGAAGTTAACCTTAAATATATTTGGCTATGAGTTTTACAGTCATGTGCCCCAAGAATCAAGGCAAGTAATCTTCCTTGTTGTACCTTCTGGGGAAGAGATGGTAGAGGAAAGAGGTGTCCCTGTACAGGAAGATTGGTCTACGGCTCCTGAAGAGGATAAGGTGAGGTTTTCACTCTCTGGTGTCACACCACATTCCTGCAGAATACGAGGGGGGAAATGTTATTTCCAGGGAAATAACTACTGTCATTGAAGATAGGTGAGTTCTTCCCATCTTGTCTTAAGTAAAACCAGGAAACACTTCAGATATTCTGGAGGACCAAGAGTATTTAAAAAAACAAACCCTAGGATCTTTTTTATGGCAAACCAAGGCATCTTAGTATTAGCTCTAGCAGATACAACTATGTAGCTCAGTTCCATAACACAAGACAGAGCCAATCTGAAGAGGCAATCTGAATCTGCAGGATTACAGCAGCCAGAGTGATGTCATACACCTAAGCTTCCAAGATTCTTGGCCAACGAAAGTTTGGCTCAGCTTCACGTGAGCCAGCAAAGCAACTGAACCACCAATTTGCCTGTATCTCTAGATTTTCATCTGAGCCTGGGAAGAATTCCAAGGTACATAAAACTCAGTTATCCTCTGAATCCTATTTCGAGAGAAGGGCATGTCACCATTCATTCATTTCTTCATCCACACAAACACATGGCTCTGAAGGTCTGTTCCAAACCTGATTTGAGAAAAGTTTACTAACATCCCTAACAGCAATGAGTGGCTAACTAAAGTCATTACGCTCAAATCCTAGGAAATCTGAAAGTAAGTTGGAGAATTCATTCCTCTTAATATTTGTTCTAGACAAGCAACCTGTAGGAAAGAAAGTTTAAGCAGCAGTGTTTGAACAAAGGACCCAAGATGTTTCAAATAACCACCTCTTCTTGAGGACGAGGAGATTTCTTCCTAGAAATCCTGATTTCAGATTCACTGCAGGCCTTCTCATCTTCTTCTTCGTGTAGTACTGAGGAATTCTGGGATATTGACCTGGAGGAGGACAAAACAACCTCATTCTAGCAGAAAAAGGTGCAGGATTAAAAGGCTATACAAAGCTACAAGCCATCAAAGGCATCCTTTGGCAACTAGGTAGATTAGGGGTGGACACTATGCAATTTGTGGACCAGCAAAAGGAGGAATACTGTCACTTAGTGAGTGTGATGGGTGTTAATATGACCCCTCTCCTCAACTTTAGGAAGTTTTATCTTTAGGATTTTACTTTGATTCCTGAGGCAGACACAACAGAAAGATGCCTAAAAGAAGGACTCGTATAAGGGTCCTGGTACCAGCCACCAGGTGCAGCTGTCTGCAGGAAAGCACTTGGGTCACTTACTTAGATAAGCTCTTCTTCAGCTTGAGTCCTTGGCTACCACAATCAGACAAACGTTCAAGGGGAGACAGAGTCCTGAGGGGTGGCAGATGGCCATCACTCCCATAGGAAGGCAGCATGCTGGATACATGGCTGTCTCCAAGCACATGGAGTGGCAGGGCTGCTGGAGACGGAGCGAGAGGCCCATTAAGAGCTTCGAGGAGGGAGACCACTTCATAGCCAGGAGGGATGTTCTCTGAAGACTAAGAGGAACCAGAGATAGGTATAAGAAAGACACTTCTTACAGCACACAATCACAGACTCCTAGAGTTGGAAGAGATCACTCCATTCAATCGAACCCCCCTACACAACCAAAGCACTTGTGACAGATGGCCTTTTGGCCTCTGTTTAAAAATTTACAGAGAAGGAGACTCCATCACATTGCCAGACAGCAGGGTATCCCACTGTCAGGAAGTTCTTCCTAATGTTCAGATGGAATCTATTTTCTTGTAGTTTGAATCCAGTCTGCTCCATCTTCAATACAAGAACTTTTCAAATATTTAAACATGGCTACAAAGTCACTTTTTAACCTTCTCTTTTCCAGGCTACATACACCCAGCTCCCCAAGGCACTCCTTATAGAGCATGATTTCCAGACATTTGACCATCTTGGTCACCCTTCTCTGGCCACGTTCCAGGATATCAATATCATTCTTGATTTTCCAATAACTTAGAAATAAATTTCATTTCTGACAAACATTACTATTATGTAGTCTTTTCATTCTAATATGATTTGTTCAACTAAGATGAGATGTTCATTCAATTTATTTTTCCTTTATGCAATGTAAGATATTAAAATCAGTCTTCCTTTTCACACTAAAATGCATTAATGAAAATGTTGTGAATATACTCTGAGAAATGTGGGCAACTAAAATTCCTGGCCATATGCCCAACTCATATTTGTAAAAAACACAGACCTATTTTTCTAATACTTTGTCAATTCAGTAAATTTTTGAACAGAACAAAATGTGAAATACCTTTGACCTACTTTAAGGGTTTTTAGAGTTTTTTTTTTTACAAATCTGGCCCCTTACTATATAATTTGATCAATCAGCAACTGTTAGTTATATTTTTCTTTGCATCCTCCAGTTAGCACAACAGCTCATAGCAGCCTCAATGTAACCAAATCATAAAGAAACTTTTGAAGACTGGCACTTATAAGAAAGTCTTTCCTTGTGTTCAATGTTTCTACAGCACAGCAGTTTGCACTTCAGAAAGCCAGCTTGACCAATATGGTGTGTGTAAGTCTCTGCATGTGTGTGTGTGTCAATATTTGAACTCTTGGCACATCCATACTGACCGAGTGTTCTTCTGAGTCTGATGTCTGGGAGGAGATGATGGGGTTGAAGCTGGTTGGGGAAAGAGGTCCGAGTTTTTTCCTCATGGCTCTGATCTGTAGCAAGGCTCTGAATGCTGAAGAAGAAGGGATGGTTGTAGGAAACAGGAGAGGGAAAGAGATGAGCAACTTCCAAAAACACCCAAAGCCACAAATACTAAAAAGGAGAGAGGTTACTCTTAAAGGTTTCTTCTGACAAACATGTGATAAAGTTGGCCACCACCACAGTCACTAAAAGCCAATACACACAAAGCAATTGCGAGGAAGGACTGCCAAAGACAAGCTATGGCCACGTGGGGCTCTTTCAGCTTTGCATACAGAATGCTTGCCTACATGAAAGCATTGAGATGGACCAGCTACTTGTTTTCCAAAGAGCAAAGGTGACCTGCTTTGGCCCAGCATAAAAATGTAGACGTGAGCAGGGGAACTTACGCAGCCTGCAGATAGGGCAGTTGTTGGCTTGGTATCGCAGGGTATCAGCACAAGTGTTGCACAGGCAAAGATGGCGGCAAGGTAAGATCAAGGTGTCCCGTACGTCTGAGAGGCAGACCACACACTCTGCACTGTTGTCACTCACCTCGTCCTCTGCTACCTGAGCGGGAGAGGAAAGCAAAAAGCAGTCTTGTTTGGGATCATGGCTGGTGAAAAGTAGGGTCCACACTAAGTGTGCATAAGTGAGAACACTATTCAGGGCAGGTTTACAGAAGAGAAAAATAATAAAATGTAGGAAGTAAGCAACCTGATCTGAAAAGGTATTATAGCATTATTTATTTTTAGCAAGTGTGGGATAATATTACTTCTCAAGGCTGTTTCTGCAGCTCTCCAAGGATCCCCTGTCTTCCCATTTTCCTTCTGTCAACAAAACCTTTGGGATGCACAGTATGCCATTCCACCCCATTTTTACAAGTGGCATTCTTTTTATGGACTGTGCTACAAAAGTCAATCCCACTTTTGGAAAAGGCTTATACAGAGCTAAATTGGGCGAAGGAGCCTGAGAATGGGCCAAAATGACAAATTACACCCCTTGGAGGGTGCTATTAAGAGTGAAAAACTAGGGACAGTTTAGGGAGACAGAGACATTGGGGAAACGGGAGCATAGGCTCTGTAAGTTACTGATCACTCATTTATTGTTGTTGTTCTTATTTAGTATGATTATTTATACCTCGCTTTTTCTTTCCACAAAGGATTCTCAAAGTGGTATTTATGCTTTCACATACAAAGAAATAGATCTACAAATAGAGATGAATGTTTGTATGTTTATATATACTTATATTTCATAGTGCTACATATACATGTGTATGTTTGCATCCGATATATAGATGTAGTTTCAGGATTTAGAATATTTACATCACAAAATCAAACTCGGGGTGAACCCATCAGTATGCAACACGCAAACTGCCCTGCATCTTCAGCTCAAGTTCTTACCTTGGAGTCCTGTGTGTTATATTTGTTTTCTATACCATAGATCTCCTGAAGCAGGTAGCTCACTCCATCCACCTAGGAAGGTTGGAGGGGAAAAACAGTGTCACAACATTCATACAAGAAAATAGGAACTAAAAATGCGATGTCTCCGGGAACACACAGTAATGTGCATAGTTTTGAAAACATTTAAATATTTTAAATCTGTTTTTAACTTGTTACAACATTTAAGATATTTTCAGCTTACTTAAATTATTTTAATATTTTAATTAGTTTAACCTATTGTTTTAATGTTATCTATGAGCCTCCCTGAGATCTTTTTGATATGGGAGGGGATACATATTTTAATAAATGAATAAAGACAGATACACACAGGTGATCCCCAAGAATATGATAGATTCCGTAGGCTTGTTCTTAAGCTGAATTTGTATGTAAGTCAGAATACATACATTTTAAAGTGTAACTCCATATAGCTTTGGCTAGCATAGGAAAGGTAAACACCCCATATTGTTTGTTTTGCTGTCTGAGCCCTTGTTCAGAAGATATGACCTCACTCTCTGTCTCTGTGGTAATTGGATTTTGAAAAAAAAATGTATTGTTGTAGAAACAAGGATTGGTGATAAAGCTTCAGTGGGGACACCTTTTCCTCATGATAACAATCTCAGAAGTGAATTTCCTGGGTAGAGTTCTCTCACGTTCTGTTATCACACCCCTGTTCTTAATTAACTCTTGAGTAATTTGTAAGTCAAATATTTATAACTCATGAACTGCCTGTATACAGAATGCCTGTTTCCAAAAATTATTCCAGAAGCCACCTGAATGGCCAATATATCTCCCATCCCTGATCATTATGCCTCCCCGCCCCAACTGCATGCACACTGGAGGTCTTTTCAGTGGGGTTCTAAACATTCTCCAAGCTTCACCTGAGATGCAACTGGGGACACACGCAGAAAAGAGCAGCTGCTCCCAAATGGAGACACACACACACACACACATATATATAGTGCTGTCGAAGGCTTTCATGGCTGGAATCACTGGGCTGCTGTGAGTTTTCCGGGTTGTATGGCCATGTTCCAGAAGCATTCTCTGTTGACCACATGTGAGGATGCCTGCCATAGATGTGGGTAAATAGTCAGGAGAGAATGCTTCTGGAACATGGCCATACAGCCTGGAAAACTCACAGCAAATCCCCCTCCATATATATATTCTTGCCTTTTCCCCAAAATTGGAGCTCAAGACACAATCAAAACATAAAAAGAACACAAAAATAAAATTCAATGACATCCAGCCCCCCATGTTTGTGGAATAATTTTTTTCATGTTACATTATTCACAGATTCAATGTGTTTTCTCCAGGTCCTCCAGTGTGACTCTAGATTCTCCATTGTGACGCTATGGTCAACTTTAGCTGGTTCTTACCAATGAGCTGAAGTGGAGGAACTAGAGGCGTTCTTTCAGGTTTTAAAAAAAGTGTTTTTTTATTTTGTATTTTATTTTCACATTTGTATGGGTTCTGCACTTCTAACCCCAGTGGAGGTGACTGTAGTGACAAAACTAACAGCAATTTAAATGTATGATTAACATTATTTTATTCAAAAGTGTTAAAATAGTACAATTAAAACAGTACACCATCCTCTTAAAAGTCTTTTCTTTGAAGATTTTCATTTCTGAAATGCTAGTCAGTATATAATAAATCTTCATCTACTGGTCAAAGGAAGACAGCCCATCCCCACTAGCTGTGGCTGTGGAGGTGGTGGGACTAACAGAAGAGGCTCTTTTAAGGATCTCAAGCCCTGGGCAAGATCATTGGAGAGAAAGGGCCTGACAGAACACGTGGACTTAAGCCATTTCTTGGCACACTTAAGAGCTACGCCCAGAAACAGACTGGCAGCCAATGGAGTGACTTTAGCAAGATATTTTGGTGCTCTGGTAACGCACTAGCAGCCCTTGCGTAAAATGATTTCATCGAAGTGAAGGCAGGAAATGAGGTGGCAGACCATGGCAAGCAAGAAGTAAATATCCCGCATGACTATAACAGAATGGCTTTATTGTCATTCTACTACAGCATAATGAAATTAAACGCCTTCCCCAGCACACATTACAAAAACAGCACACCTATCCCTCCACCCCCCAAAAACCACCACACAGCCCCCAACGCTACATCAATGTGCAACCATGTAGTTCAACATAGCCACAGCTCTAGAATAAAAGTTATCTCTCAGTCTGTTTATCCTTGTCTTTGTCACCCTGTACTATCTGCCAGAAGGCAATAATTTTTAAAAATGCTGTGTGTGATGGATCCCCGAGAATTGCTCTGAGCTTTCTTAAGGCTGCAGTCCCGATAAAGTTCTTCCAAAGAGGGGAGAGGGCAACCAATGATTCTCTGTGGAGAAGTGGTGATCCTTTGGAGCGCCTTCCTATCTGCCACTGTGTAGTTACCAAACCATGCGCAGATGCAGTAGGGTAGGACATTTTCTATAGCACAGTGGTAGAAAGGATGTGATAGCAATCTACATGAACATATGAAAATATTCAGAAACCACACACTCACCACTTGTTTCTGTTTGAGGGGCTTCACGCAAAAACTTCCATCAGCATGCTGAGAGAAAGACACAAATGATGAGACAGAAACTTTCACATCATTTTCTAACAAGAGGTTTTGCAGAACATACTGAACAGCATCTGTTTCAAAAAAAACCATGTGCACTGTGTAACCGAATATGTTTATTTGATTCAAGCTGTGCCCAACACTTCAGAAATGTAAGTATAATTTCCCTTAAACTTCATCCCTTTTACACTCCCAGCATCATACTGCCCTATCTCTCATCAAAGATAATTTTGTTCTCAAGTTCAAAGACTCCTCCAATTTGTTTAATTCATTTCGCCATGTGGTTCTGTAAATATTTCTACATTCGCTGAACTGTGAATATCTCCCTGGGGGATGCACACAGGCTAATTAGCTGAAGGAAGGCATGTGGAATTATCATGAGTTCGGGTGAGGTGTTTCCACCTGAGCTCTAACGGCATGTTTTCTGATTAGACACCACAGTGGCCTAAATATCATAAAGGCGCTGGATCCCATCTAATCTTGGAAGTTAAGCCAGGTCAATGCTGGTTAGTAATGGATGGGACCACCAACAAATCCAGTTGCTGTGGGCTGTATTTCAAAGGAACTGACAAAGTCATATCTGAGTATTTCTTGCTTTAAAAATCCCTATGAAATGTATCATATAACTATAAGTTTACAAACAACCTAAGGGCACACACACCCCACAATAAGAGACAAGTGACATCTCCCCGACAACTTCCAGGGTCATCAAAATCTTCAGTTCCTCAGTAAGGGCTTCTATAAGGACTACTTCTAATACTGCAGGTGCTCTACTGCAGAAATGTGCTGCAAGAAAAGTATCTCAGAGAAGAGATCGGCATGAAGGCAACACTCACCTTCTCAAACGTTGCCAGGAGTACATGGCAGTGACCCATGTGTTCTGCAGGGCAGGAAAAGAAGCAAGGGTAAGTTTAGGCAGGAATCACTTATTTTTCCTGCAGATGCTTGACTCTCAATTTGGTGTAGTTTTTACAGCTGACAAAGATTAAAGTCAGATTAAATTAACTTGATAGAGTGAGCTTTCAGAGTGTACTTGTTTATGTTACTCAAGAGGGCATCAGATGTACATCTGGAATATGGTTATCTTATCAAAAGCCGGGTTGTAAAAGTACTGTAAAAGCTTGTATGAACACCCATTTTGGTACCCATATTAAATCAGGATCAAAATAAATTTAAATTATCCCTTACCATCTCCCTCGTCTACAACTGCAAGAACCACCATAGGATAGATTTCACGGTCCAGGTCAAAGCCCAGCTGTAAAGAAGGGGAAAATGAGGTGGAAAAACTGTTAAATAGCTGGAAATATTATTATGCTTCACATATGCCAAGTAACTATATCTGATAACTTGAGAACAAACGGCTTGCTATTTTAAAACTGCATCATTCTCACTGATATTGGCTTTTAGATATAGCTGTCTGGGTAAAAATGCTTATTGGTTTACAATGTTATGGTTTTTGGAGACTCAATGGAGGCTGTAACTACCGTGCTGAGCAAAAAAAGGGGTAGTAGAGGTGGAGAAGGTTCTGGAGCTCCCGGAAGTTCACTTGAATGTTTTCGGTCAGTGTTTGACCACACTGTGCCCCCACTCCACCCAGGTACAGGCTTGTTAGGAAGATAAAACAGAGGCAGAAAAGAGGCCTGCTACTCTGTCTTGACCTCATGAAGCAACTATATCTGAATATAGTTCAGATATAGAAACTGATATAGAAACTATATTAAATACATAAATGTAACTAATACTTGATTAATCTGTTTCTTCCAATTACTGTATTTATGAATTTAGCACCAAAACATTACAATGTATTGAAACAGCTGTGGATCCGGGCAGCTGCGTTGGATAATACAGAATGCTGGATGAGCGAAGGTTGGATAAGCGAGACTCTACTGTACTTTGTTTTGCAGAACACCTAAAGTTACAATACAGATCAAATACAAATAAATAAATGTGTGTAATTTCTCTCAGTATTGTGGCATTCAATTTAGAAGGAAGATTGCGCTTAGGAGCAAAACCTCCCAGCGCCTCTAGCACCTAAGTATCAATAATTTGTTGCCCTACTAAAGAGTTGCTGCTCCTTGCTGATACCACAACCTCTTGAGCTGTTCCACTGTCTTGTTTCCCAACCTGTTTAAGCCTTACCTCTTCTTCTGTCCATTCTGAGGGGTCAACAGTATGGGAAGGGAGGCAGAACTGCTGGCACACTCCTCTCTTGTAGTGCACAGTCTCAGATTGTAAACTGGTGTCTTTGGGAATGTAACTAATAGAGAAAGGGAAAGGGCACAAGGCAAACACCATGGCATAAACGTTTGTTATTCTTGCATTCTAGTTAGTAATACAGATTGGCGTACAAAACTCCCCTCCACCCTCCATTGGCAAATACGATTTCTTGGTTTTTGAAGGCTTTTTTCCCTGCCGGACAGATAATACTTTTATCTTGTGTGTGAATATTTTAAAATCAAATCTGCTTCTACTGATATATATTAAATATTGTTATGCCTAGGTTCATCTAATTCCCATAAGCATAGAAGATATGCATAAACTTAGAAGTTTGGGGTAGAAATTCTTAGTAAGACCCTCATAAACACAGAACACATTTCTGCAGACTGGAGAAAAATATCACTCTACATTTTCTATGTCAATGGTTCTCAACCTGAAGATCCCCAGTTGTTTTGGCCTTCATCTCCCAGAAATCCCAATAGCTGGTAAACTGGCTGGGATTTCTGAGAGTTGTAGACCAAAACATCTGAGGAACCACAGGTTGAAAACTACTGCTCTATATCCTCCAAGCAATACTATTCCCCCCAGAAGTGACCACACAGTTGCACCAGAGGATTTAGCAGATTCCTGGAAATACTTTTCTAGGAATTTCTATGTTCTCCATCTCAACTCTATGGTATGCAGGGGCTATATGTGAAGTAATTTAATAGCATTTGCTTGTATCCGTGGTATCATGTAACTCTGATTCGGTCGGAAATGTATCTCTGGTGCATACATGAGTCTAACTGTATAGTTTAACAAAAAATACTCTCTTCAACAAGGAAGATTCCCCTCCATATAGGAAATCGGTTTCATCTCAAGCAAGCTACATTTTGAAAATAAATTTAGGCCTGCTATATAAAAAAAAACCCAAGACCAACTATCTTAAATAGATAGTTTTTACTAAGACTATCAAACTCTCTATCAGGATTATCCCCTGGCTTCCTCAGGGCCAGCTTTCAGAATATGTCACCCTGCAGCAGACCAATGTTCACTGCCAGCCCTATCGATCCATTGTGAAGCACTCAGATGCAGCCTAATGGCATCCTGAGGTGAAAGATCAAAAGCCACGTTGTGCTGAATGCTGTGCATCCTGTCAAATGCTAATTTAGACTGAATTCTGCATTTCTCACAAGTCAACATGATCTTGACATTCAATAAACCAAATTGATACTAGTATCCTTGCAGTTACCTTTCTGAGTCTGACAAGTCATCAACATGTGTCTAGCTGATTTTTTTTCTGTGTACACATGGAACACTCAAACCCCAGAAACACCAATCAATATGGCCAGTGGTTAGGGATTTGGGAAACGTAAGTCCAAAACCTTTGGACTGGTGCAGAAACACCTTTAGTCTCCTTGGATTTCTCCTTCTGGAAATAGCAACCTTCTCAAGTTTCCACTAGTTATTTGTTATACATATAATTGCTTGCTGTATTTTTCTATGATTTAACTCACCATTCCACCCACACAAAATTTAGTCCAAGTAAATACTGCGGCTCACACACAAAAGGAGACCCTAACTTGTGGCCTATGAATGTTGCCCACCCATGTGTTAAGAGCTATAAAGGAAAGGGATCTAATTTTCTTTAAAGGTGATCAAACAATCCTCTTTAAGCAGACAGCCAATGCAAGGATGGTGGGAGTAGGACAGTGCTTGCCACCTCCACCCTTAGTCCTGTGTCCTTCCCGGTGTTTACATACCCATCAAAATGTCTGAAATGGAAACATGGCATAACTGTGGGCTCACCAGGAAATAAGAATTTTAGACACCTTGGGTACTTTAACATGATAGAATTATAGTGCTATGATTCCAGTTTAACTCCCTATGCAATCCTGGGATTTATAATATAGGGAGAGGGACAGAATTGTCAGTCAGAGAGTTCTAATCCATTCAAGCGGAATCATAGCACTGTAATTTTTTTCAGTGTGAACGAGCATGCTGACACGACCAAATATGTGCACATATTCATACAGACTTAAATGTTACAATAAGCATATGAATGTGAAAGCAAGAAGGCATGACTAATTTCTCTCCTCTGGAAAGAAATATATTGGATAGTGGCAGTATTGGCTATCATTTTGAGTGTGCTTGGAACATAACAGCATCAAATCATTACAGTCTCAACAGAATCTATGGGATACATATGGTCCCTAATCCCAAGTTATCCTGCCATTTACCTCACTACTCCATTTTGGAATTCTTCACTTGCTTGATAATAAATCGTTATAGCCACCCGTGCATCTGTGTCAAAAGTGAACTCCACATTGTAATGGACTTTAGCTTTGCTGACTTCTTCTCCTGGAGTCTTCACTTCCTCCGTGCATCTGGTGGGTCAAGGCACAATAATAAAAGTCAATTCAGGTCTAGAATTTACAACAGATGAAATTGCTTGAGTTACCCAAGTGCTGATCTGGCATCTCTGTTCTGTAAAAATAAATTGAATGGTTTCTTCCATAAAGAACAAAATACCTGCAAGAAACATCAGGAAAAACTCTTTTTTACTGTAAGAGCTGTTCAATAATGGAATGGATTGCACTGGAGTATGATGGACTCTCCTTTTTTGGAGGCCTTTAAACAGAAGTTGGATGTGCAGTTTTCAGGCGTGACTTAGTTGTCTACCCCTGCATGGCAGAGGATTGGACTGGATGACCTTTGTGGCCCCTTCCAACTTTAAGTTTCCATGATTCTGCAAATGAGCTGCTGCTTCCAAAATAAATTCCAGTTAACTACTAGGCACCTTAAAACACTTCCTCCTAGAGTCCCGGTCATGGGGTAAAAAAGGCCAGCAAATCATAATCCAGACTGAGAAGCTACTGAAGAATTTTGGATTAGTAGTGCTGGCAGACATTCTTCTGAAAACATCTTGCTGGTTGGGTTTGTCATCCTACCTGAGAGCAAATAAAAAAGTATAATTCTAATCTGATTTAAACAAGACTTACTTTGAGTAGAATAGTTCTAGACCCATATTACTCCAACTTTTCTTAATATAATGTTGATATGGATGCTATTTGGTTCTGAATCCAAACACTTTTTTACTAAGGATGTAATAATACTACTAATAATAAAATTATTTGTACCCCACCACCATCTCACCAAAGGGACTCAGGGTGGCTCACAAAGTGCCACCTCTATAGTAAACAATACGCAGACATAAAAAACGATAACATAAGATTACAATCACAAACACATCATAATATATCACATAATAAAATATTAAAATTCATAAAACGCAGTTGTGACCGCGGATAAAACAGATTGTTTCCAATTAACGAGCCAAGTGCCGAAGTGATGCCTACACTAAGTCTACAGACTAACCCTCAAAATCTAAACAAGATCAAAGGCTTGTTTAAATAGCCATGTTTTTAGACTAGATTGGAAAACGTGAAGAGAGGAGGCTAGCCTAATCTCTCTAGAGAGAGCATTCCAGAGCCGAGGGGGGGGGGGGTCACCACTGGGAAGGTGGTGGGACCAAGAGATGGTGGTGGGACCAAGAGAAGGGCCTCCTACCAGATTTCAGAGCCCGCGTCGGACTCGAAGATAGGTTGGAACCGAAGCATTATAAGGCTTTATATGTGATAACATGCACCTTGAATTGGGCCCAGAAACTTGTCAGAAGCTGGTGGAGCTGCTTTAATAGGGGCGTGCTCCCTATAGCTAGCCTCGTTAATAATCTGGCTGCCAATCTTTGTACTAAATGCAGCTTCCGAGCTGTCGTCAAAGGCAGCCCCATGTAGAGTGCATTGCAGTAGTCCATTCTGGATGAAGATAAGGCATGGAAGACTGTGGCCAAGAAAGGGTTTTCGAGGTACGGTTGAAGCTGGTGCACCAGTTCTAACTGTGCGAAGGCCCTCACAGCCACCACTGACACCTGAGCTTCAAGTGTCAGTGCTGAGTCCAGGAGGACCCCCCAGACTGCGGCCCTGTATACTCAGGGGGAATGTAACCCTGTTGAGCACAGATTGCCACCCTATACCCCGACTGGCCTCACGACTGACCAGGAGAACTTCTGTCTTGTCTGGAATAAACATGTTTGTTGGCCCTCATCCAATCCATTACAGCTGCCAGGATTCAGGGAGCTTCCTTGGATTGTGGTGGAAAAGAGTAGTAGAACTCTACTACTGTGTCATCTGCGTAGAGATGGCCCCCAACTCCAAAACTCTGGATGACCTCGCCCAGCAGTTTCATGTAGATGTTGAAAAGCATGGGGGAAAGAATAGAGCCTTGCGGGACTCCACAGGTCAATGACCAAGGGTCCGAGCAGGTCCCCCAGCCTCACCATCTGAGAACGGTCCTCCAGGAAGGATCAGCGCTACTGTAGAGAAGGGCCCCCAAGACCCATTCCAGAGAGCTGACCCATTGAGCATTGGATAAATAATTGGTTTGGCATACCAAGTAAGAAAAACCTTTTTTAAAATCTGCAAAAGTATTCTAATATCAGACTACTATTAAGCCCTGGCTATAATGTTCATATTCAGAGCTGAAAATTATGCAGACTTATTTCAACTGTGCATTAGGTGGACGAATAGAAAGGGATATAAATCAAGAAGCAATTCTATTAGCATAAATAGAATTGTTCCAGGTTTGTACCAGAAAATGACAGCAGCCTGATTAGCCACCTAGCTTTAGTAAAATTGATAACTGTTAAACTGTGCAAGATGAAAAGAAAAAGTGTGAACTATGATCTCTCTTGCATGCTTTGCTTTCTTTGCCTATTGTCTGGACTCTCTGGAGAAAACCACAGACTTGTTGCCTTTGCAGGAACAAAGCATTCCCAAAGGAATGAGCGCATGTTCTCACAATGACACTTTAAATGACTTACACTGAAAGGGCACTTTCTTCACGGGCACAAAAAGTACATGAAAGGAATGCAATTGTATACACAAAGCTGGTGCCATACAGGCAAATCATTTGGCACATCACTGCTCAACCCAGTCAAAACTCAGATTCCATTTAAGAGGGTGATTACGAGCCATTTCAAATTATGTTTAATATTGATTATAGTTAAACTTTTGAATGTTTTAATGATGTAGACTTTTATCTGTACCTGTTTTGACTTTGTATGGTGCCTTGAATTTGAGAGTTAGTATATAAATAAGTAAAGGAAATGAATTACAGCAGCCTTTGATAAAATGTCTTGATTAAATGTTTTGGTGATGGAAAGAGGACAATCAGGAAACGTGAGAAGTGTCCATTCTGATTCCAATCTAATAAACTAGGATTCCAGACAAGCATTAGTGAATTTTGCTTAGAACTGGGCAAGAGGTAGAAACCCAAGATTCTTTCACATCACACAATTATATTCCAACTGCTACACTCCCCTCCACTGAATTCTGGCATTGGCAGTAGAGGACCAAGTGTCAAAAACTCTCAACCAGATAGTTCTTCTGATACCTTTGACAAAATCTATGCTCTGTGCATAATGAGTACCTTAAAAACAGAAGAACCAATGAACTAATTCACACCAAATTTGGCAACAAAATGTCTCACATCACAAGGAGTGACCATCACTCAAAAATTATGATTTTGTCATTTGGGAGTTGTAGTTGCTGGGATTTATATTTCAGCTACAATCAAAGAGCATTCTGAACCCCATCAACGATGGAATTGAACCAAACTTGGCACACAGAACTCCCATGACCAACAGAAAATACTGGAAGGGTTTGGTGGGCATTGACCTTGAATTTTGGAGTTGTAGTTCACCTACATCCAGAGAGCACTGTGGACACAAACAATGATGGATCTGGACAAACTTGGCACAAGCACTCAATACACCCAAATATGAGCACAGATGTAGTTTGGGGGAAATAGACCTTGACATTTGGGAGTTGTAGTTGCTGGGATTTATAGTTCACCCTCAATCAAAGAGCATTCTGAAACCCACAAACAACAGAATCGGGGCAAACTTCCCTCACTGAAACCCCATGACCAACAGAAAATACTTAAGACCATCCAATCCAACTCCCTTCATCAGGGCAAGAAAACATAATCAAAGTCCTCCTGACAAAGAGCCATCCAGCCATAGATATAGAGAGATAGATAGGTATGATTCACACACACAGAGAGATATAGTATCATAGATTTGAAAGATAGTGTCCCCTAAAGAAGGACAATAATATGTTGCATGTTCCAGGGTGGGCAAACCAGACACTCTCCACATCAACACTGACAAAGAAACAGCAAGAAATACTATTTACCCACAAGCAGAAAGAAATTACATATATTAGAAACCAACACTTTCTCATTACTTTATTTTCCAGATCAACAGACTGGGCCACAGCAAAGCATGGCAGGGGACAGCTAGTAATATTATAATTGTGTAATGAGGAAGCAGCCTCAGTTAGTGTAAGATGTCACCTCTTTAGAAACCAAAAGTGGACTAAGATAGTGAGACCACAGAATTTCCCTCACCCTCTTTTCTTCCATCGCCACATATTTGAGTTCCCATTCCTTGGCAACAATTATCTGAAACTATTCGAAATGACTGAAATACATGAAATCCACAGTGCAAGAAAAGAAAGACCAGTATTAATAACAAAGCTGACGGTTTGTTAAGCTGGGAGAACACACGTTCTTAACAAAACCTTTTTCTTTTTACAGCTGCTGTGCTTAAAGCTGCCTTTACTAGGTCAGTTTTTCTCCCTCGAGTCCTGAGCTCTGAACTGTTGGGCTTTATCTGGCTACAATTCCAGCCCAGCAACAGGGGAGAATTCAACTCCATCTAAATCTTGCTGTCACCCGCAGTGACCCTGAAAGCCAAAAAGGAAAAGAAAGGTGATGATATAAAAGGAGACAAGGAGCTTGTCCAGAAGGGTTGCAGAGTATCTGCTTACCGTAATTCCTCCTCCCAAACAGCCACACTTAATCTTTCTGCTAATCTTGAGGAGCTACACACAGATATCACCCCCACCCCGGCACAGTAGCTCTCCAAGGCCAAGTTCAAGTAGCGCCAGCATTTTAAAGAACACAACAATAGTGCCAGTTGGTGTCAGTTGCTGGAATGGTACATCTACTCAAAGGGCTTCACAAGTACAGGAACACTGCAGTTAACAAAGCCTTAGACAAAGAAGTTTCCCTTTACAAAATCTTTTAATGCCTCTCCAGACCCCACTTTTCTTCACTCCCTGCCTAGCTGGAAGGCTTTTAGCAGCACCAGCACCGGGAGCATACTGTACTAGATGGGAGAGATCCAGGTTTTAATATAGGCTACAGCACTGTTTACTGAATATTGCAGTAAACAATGCAATAAGGTTTGAGGTGGGAAAGTGACAGTATTCAAGTCAATCCTACTCTAATTGTGTGTGCTTGCCTGCAATAGACAAAGTCAACAGCAGCTTCTTATTCATCCCATACTGAGCAGACAAGAACAGAAGAAAAGGGAGAAAAGGTGAGAGCAGATAAGTATGACTCACCGGCTCTAACCAGAGCACAGATGTGTAAATTTGGTCACCAAAACGGAAATCTTAAGAAAGACGCAGGCTGATGAGAGAAAATATTATCCCAGTAGCATTTTGAAAAAAGCTGTCAAGTCGTCTTTGGAAGGTCAAAATGTTTTGTTTACTTGTGCAAGGCTTATTAGATATGGTTTCATTTCATGTAGGCATATTGTTAGTTTTGGATAAGAAACTTGTTAAAAAGTTATTGAACTTGTCTTTTTTTGTGGCGTAGGGGCATATTATACCCATGATAAATTTTCCACTTCAATCCGCCTTAAATGCTGTGACTGCCTCCTGCAGAATTCTAGGGCTTGTAGTTTAGGGAGATCCAGGGCTTTCCTGGATGAGCAGTTTAAAGGCTCCTCCCTAATCTACAAACCCAAGAATTCTGCTCTGAATGTCTCCTGCAGAATTCTGGGGCTTGTAGTTTATGGAGGTGTCTTTAAACTGCTCATCTAGAGAAGCCCTGTGCCTCCCTAAAGTACAAGCCCTAGAATTCTGCAGGAGGCAGTCACAGCATTTAAAGCGGACTGATGTGGAAAATGCTCAAGTGTGATGAGGCAGAAGATTAGTGTTTTTGGACCAGGAATGCATTTTTAAACAATATTTATATATTTCTATTTCATCCAATTACCTTATTTTCTATTGAATATGGAGGTAATTTTGGGCATCTTAAAGAATCATAGCTGGCATAAAATTTTATAAAGACATCTGCTGAAATAGAAAAGGTGCTAAAGAATGAATATTTGAATGGAGGCTGTTTCCAGATCAGTTCCTCAAATATCTGTTCAAAAGGATCTAGGGTAGCAGAGCTGACAAGATCAAATCAAAATAAACCAAAATATATTGTATTACATGGACAGGAAAATTGACTTATACAAAATTGGACCACAGATCCAGAGCTATGAAAGGTTACTTTAAAAATGATCATATTAGTGTTGCTTTATTATTGGTTTGCTTGTTGTATGGATTTTGAAAAAGACTTTGTTGTCATTACAGGCAGTTCCCAAGTTACAAACAAAATAAATTCTGTAGGTTTGTTCTTAAGTTGAATGTGTATGTGATTCATAACAGACACGTTTTAAGTGTAATTCTAGTGTAACTCTCTCTCTCTCTCTCTCTCTCTCTCTCTCTCTATCTATCTATCTATCTATCAGCATAAGGAATGGTTAACACCCCTGTGGTGTTTGTTTTCCTGTCTGTGCCCCATGTTCAGATGATTTCACCTTACTTTCTGTCCTTGTGATAATTGGATCTTAAACATTTTGGCTTGTTGTGGAAACAAGGATTGGTGATAAAGCTTCAGTGGCTACCCCTTTCCCCCATGATAATAGCTCTTTCAGAGGTGAATTTCCCTTCCTAGGGGCAGATTACTCTCACTTCCTGTTGTCTCAGCCCCAGTCTTAACTATGATTTGTTTGTAAGTTGGGTATTTGCAACTTGAGGACTGCCTGTATATATTACATAGCTTGTTAGTGGCTACTAACGGCTTCCTTTACAAAAGTTAAAATTTAGAATTACCAAAGATGGTCCAGAATAGTCAAAGAATCAAATTCTGAAAACAAAGAAATATTACTCAAATATTGCATCAATAACATTTGTCATGTCAAAACAATTATACTATTGCCTCTTGATATTAAAAAGGGAAAACTATACCCTTTTCATATTTTTGCTTATATGTTTCATCTGTATTTGTTTTTGAGTTTAGTTTTTAATTGCAAGTTGACTCTACCACTAAGTTACAGCTTCTTTTTGTGGTCTGCTTCAGAATAAAGGCAATGTCTTGTTTGGCTGTGTTTTACTTACTTCACCAGCCGCAAAGTGTCCTTACGGATGTTGATCAGGCTCCTCAGGGTCTTCACTGGCTCCTGGGGTGGTGGGGCAGCATAGGGAAACTGGGCAGAAAAGAGAGGAAACAGAGGAGGTTGGATTGCTGAGATGTCATTCAGCCTATAAGGCTACAGAAACCACCATCTCAATCACAATGAAGTATGGGACGTTTTCTCCGACAAGGAGAGCTGTAGAAAGCGGTAGAGCTTAAAATGCATTGGACCCTAAACTTGTTCCTCTTAGCACAGTTCTGTAAGCTCCCTCTTTGCTTTTTTTACCATATCAATTCCCCCATCTTCATTGCATTTAATGCAGTTCCAAATTGGTATTGAAGAAAGTAGTTTTGCTGTGCAGATGATTACATAGGAAATCCTGAAGCTAGATGGTGATCACACAAACCACAGAGTACTGATGTGCATTCAGGTCTTTCTTTTGTGTTCTTTAGTGAGAGTTTGTTGTCCAGCCACCACAGTTTCAGCTTCAACCTGCATTAAATGGTCAGTGTAGATGGGGCCAATGCCTTTCCTCTCACCTGCCTTTCTGTCCTTATGGCAAAGAAGTTCAGAGTCCCTTGGTCCTTTGAAGGATGCTACAGTCAGAGAAACTCTTTCAGGAAAGTTGCAACACCCCAACCTGAAGTCTAATGTATTTTTAGAGAATTAAAATGGAATAAGTCACCCACTCACCACCATCCACATTGTCTGCTGGTTCAGAATAGTTCAAAAAGAAACAGTAAATAAGTATGTATGTACATATGATGCTTTTGCAAAGAATCCAGGGACACAGGGAAGACAAATTAGGAGTGGTTTCAAAGGTTCAGGCAGTTCAGGATAGAGATAATAGGGGGACACTGCTTTTATGCTTACAGAATTGGCAACTCAGGGCCCTTCCACACAGCCCTATATCCCAGAATATCAAGGCGGAAAATCCCACAATATCTGAGTGTGGACTCAAATAACCCAGTTCAAAGCAGATATTGTGGGATTTCCTGCATATTCTGATATTCTGGGATATAGGGCTGTGTGGAAAGGCCCTGGGTCCGCACTCAGATATTGTGGGATTTCCTGCCTTGATATTCTGGGATATAGGGCTGTGTGGAAGGGCCCTAAGTGCACAAGGAAGACAACTGCACTGAGACTTAAGCATGATGCCACGAAACCAAAGGCAGCAAAGTCAGGACAAAAGTTATGAATCTGAGAATTAGGCTTCCTTCCTGCATTTTACCAACAAACAAGTCTGCTCAGATATGTAATGGGTATTTATTTATTTCATGTAAAGTACTCTCCTAAATTTCGCTATTTTGCTGAAGCAGGGATGGGCAAAGGTTTGGGGGACTGTTGTGATTAAATGATAGCAAAGAGTTCTCCTCTAGGATTTCACGGGCATTTTCTTGGGATTTAAGGGCCCTTCCACACAGCCTTTAACCCAGAATACCAAGGCAGAAAATCCCACAATATCTGCTTTGAACTGGGTTATCTGAGTCCACACTGCCACAAATTCCAGTTCAAAGCAGAAAATGTGGGATTTTATTCAGCTGTATGGAATGGGCCTTAGTTATACACATGAAGAAAGCAAACAAAATGTGCTGGGTGAGTGTGTGAGAAAGGAAAGAGAGAGAGAGAAAATGTAATATTTTGTTGCTAATTACTCTATATTCTTTCTGGGAGAGCATCTGTCTTCCTTCATGTGAAATCAGTATCTTCTACCAAAGGGAAACATGAATACAGTGGAGTCTCTGAATGTGTTAGCACTACGTACATGTGGTGTTGGCTACTCCGCCCTCCACCTCCTTGGAGCAAAAATGGTCACCAGGCACCATTCTTCAAATTAAATTCTTCTCCATGCCAGCTGTGACAGTAAAACTTCCCAAGCAGAACAAAATCTATTCCCGCATGCATTGTGGACACATTATGAGTGCCTTGGGAACCTTTGTCCTAGGATGCATGCAGGGACAGTAAAAAAGCAGACACATAGGATGTTTTCGTTCACACTTTGAACAGATTAATACAAACCAGATCTAGCTTGAGACTCAATACAGGTGAGAAGATGGAAGCTGCTTGCAGAGCATTTGCAGCAGCCTGTTATGCAGTCTTGTTTCCTCTCCTTTTCCAATTGCTCTCATAACAGTCTAATGTACCCAGTCCAGTAAGCGAAGGATATTTTTAGCTTGCTGATGCAGCAGTATGTTGATTTAGATCAGTATCTGGCAATGGTACAGTGATAATTCTCTGCCTGCCTGTCACAGAATGAATACAGATTTGCCTTTTTAACCAGCTATGCTCCAAAGACAAAAGGGAATTATGCCAGCTTGCTGCTGGTTACTTGTTAAAAAAAGTATGGCTAAAAGTGTGTGCGTGGGGGGGGGGGGAGGAGTTTGCTTAGACAACTGTTGCAATGAGAGCAACTTGTCTCATGAAACCCATGCAAAATCACTGCTGCAAAGAAGATGGGGTGACATGGAGACATGCCCTCTAATGACCTYGAGTAGTTTGTGTTGGTTAGCTAAAGCTCTGCCGAGAATGCACACTGCAGCTTTGTTTTAAGAAGTCATGCCAATTTTGAGTTAATCGTTATGACTCTATCATAAGGGCTTGGCACTATTTGGAGAAATCTCTGCCTTTTCACTACAGCTTCGTTCCAGTTTTTTTTCTAGTTTACAATGGCACTTTGCCTGATTTATAAATCCAAGACAAAGCCAATTTATATCATTTAAATGTTCTACAGAAGGGAGGCAGAAAGAAATGTTTTACCAGTGGGTTATTACCAGTGGGTTTCAGGCTGTATGGTCATGTTTCAGAAGCATTATCTCCTGACGTTTCACCTGCATGTATGGCAGGCACTTCAGAGGTTGTGAGGTCTGTAGCAAACTAAGCAAGTGAGGTTTATATATCTTGTCTAGTTTCCAACAGATCTCACAACCTCTGAGGATGCCTGCCATAGATGCAGGTGAAACGTCAGGAGAGAATGCTTCTGGAACATGGCCATGCAGCCTGAAAAACTTACAGCAACCCAGTGATTCCGGCCATGAAACCCTTCAACAACACAATATTTTAACAGTTCCACTTACATAGAACGTTTTAAGGATTGATCTTACACAACTAAGTACCACAAGTCTTTTTTATGTACTGCTATTTCCACTATTCCCTGCCTCCTTACCCCATCTGCCATGTAACCAATTTGCAAGGCTAACCGGGCCTCTGGTTTTAAAAAATGCAAAACAGGAAGCTAAGTAATTCAGGAGGGGGAGAATGCTGAACTCTGGGCTTGATCCTGCTTGGACACCATGCTGTCTGATCTCAGGTGTCTTTCTGGAGCAGCTGCAAGTACTATGCACTGTGTACATTTAACACCTTGTGTTTATTTTGTAACTTCAAGCAGGAAACTGCCAACATGAGAAACAGATTTTTGAAAGACAAAAGGGCAGAGGATCAATGGACCCAGGCAGAAGTGAAGTACGCAGACATTTATCACAGCCTCCTACAACTTGGTGCTCCCCACGTGCATTGAATTATGCCTTGCAACCAGGATAGTTTTCTGATGATCCCGGGATACAGGTATTTTTATCACATCAGAAGCAAATTGAGGGTACCGTTATAATGTATTTAAAACACAAGCAAAGTTTAGAAAAATGCATTATACTAAATGTCCTTTGACCAGTAGTTGGCCACTTTGAGTGCCTCTGTAAGAAGGTGCTTCATTGTGCATGTGGCAGGGCTCAGGCTGCATTGTAGTAAGTGGTCCGTGGATTGCTCTTCTCCACATTTGCATGTTGTGAACTCCACTTTGTGGCCCCATTTTTGAATATTGACTCTACACCTCATGGTGCCAGAGTGCAGTCTGTTCAGCACCTTCCAAGTTGCCCAGTGTTCTGTGTGCCCAGGGGGCAGTTTCTCATCCAATATCATCCATGGATAGAGGTTCTGGGTTTTAGCCTGCCACTTTTGGACTCTTGCTTGCTGAGGTGTTCCTGTGAGTATTTCTGTAGATCTTAGAAAGCTGTTTCTTGATTTAAGGCATTGGTGTGCTGGCTGATATCTGAACAGGGGATGGGTTGGAGATGTCACTACCTTGGTCCTTTCATTTTTGGCTGCTACTTCCCGATGGATGTCAGGTGGTGCAATACTGGCTAAACAGTATAATTTCTCCAGTGGTGTTGGGGGATATATGTAATAAAAATTGCAGCCTATAGATTAGGATGAAGGGAGGCTGCTATATGGTAAATGTGCTAACATGTTGGTATATGAAGCTTTTTATTTCCCAGCGATGCAGCTGATACAGCAAACACTGAAAAGGAGCTGAGTCTGCAGATTTAGCACTCTACATGGGACCATTTAGAATAGATTTATGTTTGAATAATAAAACCTTATTAAACTCCAATAGTGTTTAATCACACATCCATATTGACACAATAAAAAAAATGCCCATGTTTCATCTACCCTCCCAGCCCAAGAGACAGTACCTTCTGGCACATATATATAAAAACTGAAACAACACAATATGGTAAATTTTAAAAACAAGGGCTCTGGGTTTATAAGGTGTGTTATGTGTAGTGTACATCACTGCAGCTTAACACAAAAAAGGAAATGCAGCTTTTAATGGAAAACAACCACCATCATGATATAGAAGAGTTCAGGCCTAGAATGGGCATGTATCACATTTTTTATCATGATAAAGATTATTTCTATATCATTTGTGATCTAGAAAATAAAATACATATAGCCCCCCCCCAAAAAAAAATTATTTTTAACAGTTTAGGCATATTAAACAGCAGAACACTGTTTTCAGGCTGTCAAATACCATTCTTTAGCTCACGAAGAAGGAAGGATAACTGGGTGTTGTCCTAAATGCTGTGGCATTGGAAATAAACATCCTTTACCTCAAGCCTTTTGGTGCCACCAAGTGGTAACAACCACTAAACCAATTTTTAAAAAAGGAAAAGAGCTATGGTTCACACTGAAGCTGATACAAATGTATTTGTACCAAGCCCCATAGAAATAATGTGTTTACAAATACAAGACTCAGCAGCTTTAACCTCTCCAGTTTCTTTCTATGTACTGCAAATCTT